CTTGGCCGCGTCGTCGAACGATGATCGCGTTTCGGCGTATACACTGTGAACAGGAGGAGGAGGAGGAGGAGGAGGAGGAGGAGGAGGAGGAGGAGGAGGAGGAGGGCGAAGAAAGAGAGGCGGATTGAAAAGAGGAAAGGGAGGAGGGGGAGGGGGGCTTCACCCCTGGGCCGAAAATGAAAATCGTATTGTCGTGCGGACTCCCTTATGAGGGAAAAAGCCGGGCATTATGTTCGCGTTAGAGAGCGCCGGCAGCGGCTAAAGACAGCGGTCAGCGCTCTTTCACGACGGTCATCAATGCGCGTCATCAATAATCGCGCCCTGACAGCTTCCCCTGCCTGAACGCTCCTGCGTGGATTTAGATCCTCCGATTCCGGCGAATGTTGGCGAAACGAACGCACAAAGGAACGATTATTCGGGGAGGGGAGAAGTAAAGGTTCAAACAATATCGACGATGATTCGTTAGAAATCTTTCCTTTGCGAGATGCGAAGGGATAGGATAGGATAACGACTCGCGAGGATAAATCGGTTAAAAGCGTGAGATGGTACGACGATAAATGTCGTAGAATTGGAAGGAAAGCGTATGGAATTGGAAAGGACGACCTCTCCATCCCTCCCCTCTCTAGGAATAGTAGTTTCTTCCGTTTCGTTGGAAAAGTTTGGCGATTTGTGCTATCGAAAACTCTCTTTCTCTCTCTCTCTCTCTCTCTCTCTCTCTCGGTTCGAACGCGTGCCATCGTAAAAATGGCGGAGGTTTTAAACGGTGGGCCACGAAGCCACCTGGCGCGCCTCGATCCTCGCACGTGTCGAAAGACATTAAGTCGACACGGTGGAGGAATATGAAGTGTAATGACGCCGCGGGGAAGGGGGAGGGGGAAAGGAGGCGAGAGACGCGGTGGTGCACGATGTGTCGCGTACACGGCATCGATCTTCATCCATCAGCCACGCCTTCGGTTTTTCCCGACCGAGGATTCCTTTGCGGTTTTTCCGCTCGAGCGGCAGATGCGTAACGGCGCTCCAACTTTTCGGCCGCGCGAACCTCGATTCATCATCATCGGCGCGTCTCAACGAGCGTCTCGTCGATTCACGACCTCCTTTCGATCCCCCTTCCTTTCCCTCTCGATTTCGGAGGGAAGAGAAAGAAAGAAACGGCGAAATCACGGGGACCAATCGCGACGTACGACCGACGATTTTGCTCGGAAATCGGGGCCGATGTAAATCGCTAATGGATCCCCTCGTTTCTCCAAATAAATACCGCTGTCGCTGCGGAGACGCACAAAAGCGTCCTTTCTCGCGAGCGTAGAATGCAGATGGAAGCCTCGTTTCTTTGGACGGGACGCCAAACAAGGTGATCGCTCGTTAGGGGGCAGGGAGAAGAAATCGGATCGGGCGCATTAAAAATCCACGAATCCTGGAATCCTTTCCGCGGGGCAAGAAACGTACTCTACGTTCGGCCGAAAATTTGAATCGTATCTCGAAACTCGAGATCGCTTCCTCTCCCTTCCCCGGAGTCGAAATTCCCTACGAATCGGGGAACCGAATCGAGAAGCGCGTACCGGTTGTGGCGATCTCGTTAATTTGCGGGGGCAATAAAAAAGAGGTAGACGAGGAGCGTGCGCGAGGAACCCGCCCACCACGATTCATCCCTCGCGGAGAGGGCGGACAAAGGACGATATTCGATTAAAAGGGACGACAAAGAGAGGGAATAAATGCTTTTCGGTATCGGTGGTGTTGTTTGTCTTTGGTATTTGGGGCGAGGGGTGTAGGCGAAAAGGGCGCGACGGCGTTGTCGATCGTGGACGATGATGGAAGTCGTCGGTGGCACGGCAGTCATTGGGAGGCATTGTGCACGGCACGTGCCGTGAACGAGAGAAAACGAGGCTGGCCGTCGGTCGACGGTAGTCGGGCCTAGTCACCGAGAAAGCGGTCCTTCGGCCTTTCGGTCACAATGCACGATTCCTATCCAGATATATGGACGGAATTAATTGATACCGCGTGCCTCGGCATCGAGCAAGGGTTGCGTAAGCACCGTGGAAAAAGCAATCTCTCTTCCTTTCGCCTCTTTCCTCCCGTCTTCTCTCGTATCCCGACTCCGCCTCGCGTCGCAAAAAGCTTTTAAACGCGTCGTCCGCCTTGTTGCTCACGCTTCGATGAATCCTGATCGACGATCGTATCGGGCGGACACGTACGGATCGTTCGCTCTCGAGGCTGCCTCGTGCCCTCGTTATCTTTTCTTTCTCTCTCTCTCTCTCTCTCTCTTTTCTTTTTTTTTTAATAGAAAAAGCGACAGGTGCATTTTGATGAGTAATTATTCCGTGCCGCGTAACGTGGACGAAAACAGGGAAGCAAGACGTCGAAAAGAAGCGTGGCCTTTCGAGTGGTGGGCGAGGCGGAAGGCTGCGATGGAGAGCTGAAGGACCGTCGCGGAGCAAAGTTATTACAAAAATAATCAAAGTTTGGCGAGGCAAGGCGACAAGAGCGGAGCCGCGGATAAAGATTTTCCGCGCGGGGCGACTCGTCTCGTTTACTCGGAGGGCGACGGGTCGGTCGGCTTCTCATTACGTTTGACGATTATGCGTTAATTTGCACCTAGCGATACTTCAAACGATTTTTATTCATCGCGCGTCCACGATGAGTTTCGCTCTCTTCTAACTGGAAGTCGTCTGCTCGCCGTTTCTGGTAGCTCGGCCCGCGTAGACTCTCCACGGCCCCGCCGAGATTCTTGGAGTTTTATATTTTTCCACGCTCCTTTCCGCGGAATCGGGGAGGGATCCTCTCGTCAAAGGACTCCTCTGGATATGATAATCCCGGTTCCAAGCTGAATGCGTAATGAAGTTTTCTCCGGGCGACGGGAAGTGGACTCCTGATTACCTTCTCACGCAAAGCGTCCGAACGCCGCCCGCTTTCCCGCAAATTTCTCACCGAATTTCGCGAATCCCCCTTTCCGCTTCGAGGGAAAAAACTCCATCCTCCCCCCGACGATCGACGCGAGATTCGCTCGCCTGTGGAAAGCCCAACAGATTGGAAACCGCATTCGGTTAGCAGGATCCACTCGTTCGTTTTCGCGTTAACGCGTTCCCCGGCCTCCTATTAACTAATGCCAACCACCCCTGGTTTCGAAGGACGCGATGCCATACGCGCACCGGCGAATCACCGAGCCATCCACTCGGTCAGGGCGCAGGGTGCAGGAGGACCTAGCACGCGCAGCGTAGGACATGCCTGCTACGACGGGACAGTTTAAGCCCTGATATATCGCCCGCCGACACTCCCAACTTCTGTCGCCGTTTCTGTACCGCTTTTTTGCCACGGCTGACCATATGTCCACGGAAACCGAGATCCCCGTATCTGCGCCTGTGCCGCTCTCTCTCTCTCTCTCTCTCTCTCGCTTTCCTCCTATCCCCCTTCCCTTAAACTCGATTTACCAACGAATTTGCCGAATCGACGGCAAATTGTATGGGTAAGAAGAAGTGAGTTTCTTCTTGTTTCTTCTTCTTTCGAATCGGATTAACGAAACGTTTGGAACGATGTAACGGATTCGATCGTGACGGGAAGGAGAGACGAGCGAGTTAAGCGAGTTTAGATAAAACCGTGGTCGTCCAACAGGCGTTCCAACCCCACTTTGCAACGTAACAAATGATGCCACATGTTCGAATCTTCCTCTCTTTCGACCTTTCTCCCTCTATCCTCGTCGCTTTTCCTCTTGGAGCCGCGGGGCATGGAGAGCGTTTCGGCTCGGTATTCGTGGGAGGGGTGTATCCTATCCAGCTCGTGTAATTTGTACGGTTAAACGCACGTGCAAAAACGGGAGAGCGGGAGAAAGAGGAGGGGAGGGAGAAGACAATTTACGCGGGACTAAACTGCCGCGCTGGGAGCATTTAACCAGAAGCACGAATCGAATCGATCCTACTTAGATCCCGTTAATGGAACCTTATGCCTATGGTGAAAAGTAGCGGGCAAATGGCGCCTAACTGCAAGTGTAATGCCAGGATGAGTGTTGCGTTGCACTCTCCTCTCTCTCTCTCTCTCTCTCTCTCTTCGAGAGTTGTTCGAGAGGAAGGAAAAAAAGAAAAGAAAAGAAGAGAGACGGCGAAGAAGAAGAAAGAAAGAAAGAAAGAAAGAAAGGAAAAAAATTCCTTCGAAAAGGAGACCGTAACCGATGCCGATGGATGAGAGGATGGCATTGAAGAGCGAGAGAACAAACGCGTATACGCGACGACCCGTGAACCCCTCTCTCCTCTTCCTCTTCCTGGTCTTTTCACGACGATTGTCCGACGACTACGGTCGGGCCGAGTGCCACCGGCACGCTGCAGGTAAGTGGCCGTCATCGCGCCTCGCTTAAAAAGCCTAACCGATTGCCGCCTCTTTATCAACCACTTTACCCAACCTTTGAAAAACTGTCTGAGTGTCGCCTCTCTCTCTCTCTCTCTCTCTCTCTCTCCTCTTCAACCTTCAACCTGTGCCGCGCTCATTGTGCGATTAATTCTGACATATGTCCGCGGACGTGGAGGACGGCGAGATCCTATTCTCCTCGGGTTAACGAGCGTTCGAAACTCGCTTAGGGAAAACGATGATGGAGAAACGCGACGACGGTGGACACGGTTCGAGAACGTTTTCGGTGGACGGAAACGGTTGTTTCGAATCGACGCGCGTATCTCGCTCCCTCGACGTTCGACATTCGTCTCGTGTTTAACACGGTCGTTCGTTAATACGTTCGGATACTATTCGGATACACGGATACGCGGTCGGTTTTTTCAACTTGTTCATCCGTTACGTCGGTTATTATTATTATTATTATTATTATTACTGCGCGTGGATTCGGGCGTGCGTGTGTGGCCCTTCCACGAAAATCAATCGGTGGACGGATGTCGGTAATTTTTTTTGCAAGCCAGCCAGACCGAACGATTATGAAAATATCGACAAGGTAATTTTCTTATAATAGTGATGAAACGATTATTTCTCTTTCTTTCTTTCTCTCTTTTCGGATGGATACTCGGTCTTACGTTCATCGCGATCGACGTCCTCTCCTCTTCCTTCTTCTTCGTTTCTCTTCGGTTCCTCTTCTGCGCCGCTGTCCCCTCATCTGCAACAAAAGAGAAGAAAGAAGAAGATGATGCGTTCGACGCAAGAGTTTTGTTTCGAAGAGGACGAGAAAGGCAGGGTATTCGATTCCATTTTATCAAAAGTTCTCTCCGATTTTCGAGTCGAACGGAATGCGTGACGGGGGTGGCGAATCGAAGAGGCGGCGTGGCAAGGCGCGGTCGTTCCAAATAACTTATTGCAATCGCGGAACCACGGCATGATGCAATCGGTCGGTATAAACGGGAAACAAATAATTCCATTATACTTTATCGGGCTAATGAAAAAGGGAACGATAAAACCGCAATACCGTGTAACAGAGGAGGATGAAACGGATGGTGGGGAGATGGAGACGGAGAGCGAGAGTTTCTAGGATAAAGAAACTCGACATGTCGTGCTCCGTGCTCCTCTTTCCCCCTGTCATTAATACCAGGCGACTGTTACATATGGATGAGAAAGCTGGGTTAGGGCAGGACATCGATGCCACGGAACGAGACGAAAGCGAAACGGGATGTAGGGAAGCGAAACTCATCGACTAAAAGCATCCACGAAAGACCGAGAAGTCCTTCCTTCGCTCCTCTCTTCGTCGTCGATCTCGAATCTTCTTCGCCCTCTTACACCGCGAAGAATAACGCAAGAGGGACGATCCTCCTCTGTCCTCGAAACGGAGAGACAGAAAGAGAGAGAGAGAGACTTTGATAAGAGAGACTGCTCGGGGGATAAAACGAGCACCCTCGACGTTTACCTACGATTTAAATTGTCTGCCGACCATCCCCCGATTTCACGGAATCCTTGCGTTACACTGGATTCCTTTTTCCTTCACGTGTACTTGGCTTTTTCCTCCGCGTTTCTTTCTTTCTTTCTTTTTTTCTTTTTTTTTTTTTTTATTTTTCTTCTTGCTTTTCATCGCCGATGACTCGACGAAAAGTCGAGGCGCGCGCGCGCGCGCGTCGAATCGACGGTGGAACGAGGTCAAGTTATTTTCAGCTTCGAGGCACAACACTGGTGCTGGTACCGCCTCTTTTCATAATGAATGGAGGCCTCCTCCTCCTCCTCCTCCTCCTCCTCCTCTTCCCCCTCCCACCCCTCGGCCTTCCTTTCCGCGAATTCGCAAAAGGCTTCGAACGAGCGAGCGCGTACGCGTTTAGAGAGAATTTATCCCCGGAGTCAGGGTCGTGACTCCTTTTCCGACCCGATCCGCTTCGGTCCGCGATACGGGACGATAAATCTGCACTCTACTCTCCCCGTATATCTTGCAAGGGGTCGAGGGAGAGGAGAGCGAACGCAATATAGGTAATGTTCTGGCCGGCTACTTAACAAATTGCTACAAATTGCGGAGAGCGTTTAGCCGTCGGATACGTTCGAATCTCTGCTCTCCTATATCCCCGTCACCTCTTGCGGTCGCTTCAAGGGTCGCTTCTCTCTCTCTCTCTCTCTCTCTCTCTCCCTTCCTCCCCCCCTCTCTTTCCGTATTTCGTCGACGAACGATACGGTGGTGACCACATGGCGCTCCCATATGTCCGCACCATCGCCCTAATGTCCGACTATCGACTGGTTAGGCGGGAGCTAGGACTCAGAAAGACAAAGAAGCACAGGTTTTTCCATAGCTTTCCTTCGACGCATTTTACTCGAACAATGCACACTGTTTACCTATCGAACCGATTAACTTTAACCGAGGCTGACTCACGCCGGGATAATAATTGTTCGAATTCGATTCGAAAAAGGACAGAGAAAGAGAGAGAGAGAGAGGAAGGCGTTCTTCCTCGGACGCGAGAGATTTAAAAGATTCGCGAGAGACGATGACGGCTCGGACAAATCATTAATCATCAACGGCGCGGAGAACGAGGCGCCTTCTGTCCAACGGCGCTTTAAAAGCGATACCCCCGAGCCAATCGGCGATCGCGTGCCGCGCCCGGGCTAATTTCACGGGTATTTAACGCGGTTTCGCTCAACAATGATTCAATCAACCCGGATTTATTTGGCGACCGAGGATTCGCCTGGCCATCATTGGGGCGATCATTATTATTATTAGGCGTTCTCGTGCGGAGACGAGGCTCGGACAAGCCTTTGCCTTGCCGAAATAAACGCTCCCGTTGTTACGGACGAATGGAGAGCTCGAGAATTCAGTACTCAGTCAGGAGTCTGCTCTTTTAAACGAGCGACAGGAAATAATAAAGGATGGGGATAAAGGTGGGGCGGCGCGATTAGAACGGATGCGTCGAGCTCGGCCGGCGTAAATATCGGTGAGCACGGTGTTCCCCGTCCCAGGATGGGGGACGGGATCGAGCAATTCGACGCCCGTGCGAAATGTTGTCAGCCAATTTTCTTGGCCAGTGCCTCTGAATGCCGCAGATTTCCATCTAGGTCCGTCCTCGGTGGCGCCGGTACCGTATACCGTACCCGGGTAAATACATCCCTTTTCCATCCCCCTCGAAACGGACCGACGTCGTGGTGGTCGACGTCGACATCGTCGTCGTCGTCGTCGTCGTAGTCGTGGTCGTGGTCGTGGTCGTAGTCGTAGTCGTCCCCTTCCTCTCCTCTCTCACCTCTGCCTCCTCCCCCCTCGACCTCCTCTATCGTCCACCTCGATCCACACCCCCGTAGCCGCATGAACCACAACTGTGATTATAATTCGTGGTCCCTGCTGACAGAACCAACCGCCATCGTCAACCCCGTTTCTCCTCCGCCTGGTTCATCCCCATCTCTATGGTTGCCTACGCTTAGTGGACGGGGATCGTGGACGCTGTGTAAAGGATTATGCACGCGGATTTAACTGATGAATCACATTGTCGTCTTGATTCTCGGTGGCGTTAATTTTCCCTACCGCTCTCTCTCTCTCTCTCTCTCTCTCTCTATTTCGACGACTACGACTACAACGACACACCCGTGCGAACGAAGAGTAATCGTTTTTTTATTCTCCAACGATTTCGAAAACCCGTTCTCGGCTCGTTAAGACGTTACCGCGATACGAATACGAGAATAAGATATCGATTTCGCACGGTTAGTAGTCGCTGCTCGATCTTACGTGTTATAATTATTTCGCGTACACGTGTACTCTCGAGACAAGAAGGGAGGGGGAAAAAAGAATCTAACGAGAGAGAGAGAGAGAGAGAGAAAGGAATTCATTACGGATAGAACGGGCGATAAATCGGTATTCGACAAATTATCTGCGGCAATTAATCGTTATATATATATATATATATATATACATATATAGCATCGATTCTTATTTGGAAAACTTGTCCCGGTTAATGCGCGGTAATGAGTATAGCAGAGATTACGGGAACTGAATTCATCCGGCCGATAATTTATTGCCCGTTGCTTCTTTAGGACAGGCGCGGCGGTGGAAGGAAGGAACGGGGCAACCCCTCTGCCGAGCAAACAATTTCCATTCGTTTGGAAAGGTTTCTAATCCGCCAACATCGGGTCGGGCATCGGGCATGAAGGCAGAATTAACCGCTTCCCATTTCGAGCTCGCCACCGCGATCCACGCCGGGCTTATTAATTTTGCCAATAACGCCGAGACGAGAGAGGGTGGCCTCCTTCGCACAGATGGCGTATCACGAGTCAATATACTTTTCCGCAACGCAAACCGCTTCCCTCGGAACACGTGACGGCCTTCGAATTTTCGCTACGCTAATCATTCCTTTGACCTATGCTTCCCGCATATGGTTCCGCGGCTAGTCACACTCTTTCTCCTCTATATATATATATATATATATATATATATATATATATATATACATATATATAGAACGAGACAACAACTGCTCCATCTCCTCCTCCTCCATCCGCCTCGAACTGTTATCGGAATTAAACACCGGTCGAACAGGGAGTTACGAGGTCGAGTTGAATATTACATATATTTTCGAACGGATATCGCGAACGACGAAGAATCGTACTTCAATTTTCGCGAGTAAGAAAATAAGAGAGGGGGGAGAAACACGGCGACGAATGACGACGACGACGACGACGACGCGGAGAACGAAGAAGAAGAAGAAGAAGAAGAAGAAGAAAAAGAGTTGGAAGAAAGGAGAGGGGAGAGAACCGATGGTTCTGCCAGAGTCAGGACACGATCTCGGAGCATGGACCAACGGAGAGAGAGGAGAATAAAGTAAGCCGTGTACGTGTGAGTACGTGTGCGCGCAAGAGAGAGAGAGAGAGAGAGAGAGAGTACGTAGAGGGAAGCGAAAGGAGGAAGAGAAACGTAAGGGAGACGAGGAGAAGGATCGAAGGAGAGAGAAAATCGGGACGAAGGTGTGCGGTGTGGAGAGAAGCGAAGAGAGGAGGGAAGGAGAGAGACGTGGGCCAGGGAGAAAGACGAGGAGAGAGAAAGGAGAGGACAACCCCCTCTTCTTCGCGGGTTGACTCGAACGCCGGCGATATCTCGACCAATCAAATCACGCCGCGGGCTCCGCCTTTTATCATTATTTTACTTGTTTTCCCTTTACTTCACCCTCATTGGATGACATTCTCTGGGCCATTTCGCGGTGCAAAAAAGTTACCCGCGCCCAACCGCCGACTCCATGATTCCTCCTTCGGTACCCTTCTGGTACCCACCTTGGTACGCGGACCACCTCCATACCAAGATTCCTCGACGAGCCGAGAGATGGGCAGATTCTCCGCCGTTTCCACGCGCAATCGTTTTCCACGCTTTTCCACGAATTTCGAATTCTTTCCTCCTCTCTCTCTCTCTCTCTTTCTTTTATCTTGCGTTTCACTTCGCGAAAACGCGGATTGATTTCAACCCGGTGCAAGGCGACGACGATTCGCGTTGTCTTTTAATTTCAAACCGATCGATAAACGATTGGTCGTTTTTCACGCGTTTTTCGCTCGAAAGAAGAACGTCGCGATCCTTGAGAGCACGAGATAGCAAAACTTTTGCGGGATTTTATTTTATTCCCTTTTTATTTTATTCTCTTTTTTTCTCTCTTCCCTCTCTCCTTTTTCCTCCCCCTCCTCATCCTGATACGGGAAATCGTGGGAACGAACACGATCGGTCGC